AAGCAATATTCAGGTAACAGACGGGTGATTCGACCTATATTTCTTGAGTGACACACAAAAACACAAATTCTGTAGTTTAAAGATAACTCACTTAAAAACAAATATGTGTCGAGGCCTTGGGGTAGTTAATTTGAATTTTAGAGAGTTGCATCAAGAGAGAACCGTGGGACTGCTAACTGTGAAGTTATTATCCAAGCCACAAGATTGTTCTCTAACCATAATAAATTGTAACTTTGGATTCTTACAAAAATATACTTCCGTTAGCAAAATTTCTTTCAATGACAACAGTCGGATGCTGAGTATCCTTCGTAGTAAATAGTTCCCGAGACAAATACATTTTTGTAATTTTTTAAAAATTTGTTACGTCTGATCCGCAACACGTCTCGTAGCCCTTCTTTGGCATTCACCTTATATAAATCTGGAGTAATCTGTCGTTAAGTTTTAGTCTCGTCATGTCCTAGTCAGCCTTTTAACGCTTCGGCCTACGGTAGGGTTGCCAACCGTCCTCTATTTGGAAGGACTGTCTTCCATTGACGTTACTTGTCTTCTCGTCCTCCTTTGTGTTTCAAATGTTTAAGCAAATTTTTCACATGTTTTAATACGTGACTAACATCTGCTACGTTGATTTGTTTATTGTTTAATTTAGAATAGAAAACATGGATATCTATTCTCTGAACGCTGACACACGCATGCATGATAGTGTCGCTGTTTAGCTTTATCTGTGCATTTAGTGAACGAATCTTTTTACTTGAATCGCAAATGGAGAAAAGAAAGAAATAGAGATGATGTTAGTCTAAATTAAATATTTATGAAAATGAATGTGTTGATGCGTGGTTTTTTGTTTCATTTTTTTCTTTTTTATCGAGTGTCCTCCCTTTTACATAAAGATTATTGGCAACCCTAGCCTGCGGCCCGGTACAGTTAGTAACCGGGCGATCCCAGACAGTCATCCGTCCAGGAATCCATGGTATCTCAAGTTGCTTAACATCGGAGTGCAGTTAAGCAATGCGGCTACCGACGCCGCCATTAGCCGTACGGGATGCATTCCACTCAATCCAGAAAATAAATTTTCTTTATGTGGTTTCCTCTTTCTTAGACCTTCTCAATACATCGATAAATAATATTTTGAGAGAAGTACAAACTATTATATTACAAAAACCCATTAAATTATTCTTACAATTTATACAATTTGTTTCTTCTTTTCCGGCTAATCTCTGGAACGACTGAACGGGAGAAAAAATAAATAGGGTTTTTACTGGAAAGTAGAGTATTTTGTATAACTTATATTAGGGAATTTTCAAATTATTATTTTCTCTTACACAAAGAATAATGTTAGTTTTTTTATACAAATCTACTATTTTATTTCGATCTTAATGAATTTTGACCCTCAGAACAAGAAAAAGGATTATCCGCATGAGATTTAGCAAAAAATAAATCCTATTCCTCTTTTCTTTCCCCTATAGAGAAATTCCTCTATAGAGAAATTTAAGTGAGCACTTTTATTTTATTTTATTTATTTTACTGTTTTTGCAAATAGTTCGAAAATGGTTCTCCAACCACATATCTCCCACCAGCAGGGCACCGCCCCAGCCGCAACAAGCTCTAAGCTCCCGATCGGTCTCTCAGCATGTGTGGTAGTGTAGTGCATAAAAGTAGTAGTGTGTGGAAGTAAGGGATGAGGATCGGGCAAGGAAAAGGAAGGAAAGATCGCGCGCGGGGAAACCACGGAAAACTACCGATCAGAGCAGTCAGTCAAACCTCCTGAGTTTTCCCTGCAACTGTTAGTGACTAAAAGTCATTGTTTGAATTATTCATATTGGAGGCCCTTGTTCCGGAAACTGTTGGTAGAAAAAAAACAACATAAAATTAGGAAAGCTAGATGAGAAGGAATTTGTTATCTTTGCTATCTCGCAGCTTAATCTGAATATAACAGGACAGTGAACGATCTGGACATCTGGCAGGCGACCAGCTGGTTAGGCAGCAAAGATAAAGCCCGACCAGGTGTGCAGTTGTTCAGTGATAACGGACTTCTCCGCTTATCAGAGATCCATTCCTTGCGTGAGTACTTCAGCTGGCGATGCTATTGAGTCTGTTTTGGCAGCTGATGACTGTCAAACGTTTCGAGACACGTGCGATTAACTGAAAACTAATTGGTAAATTGCTGCTTTTTCGGAACATGTGCAAGCCAAGTCTTTTGCAAAAAGTTAAAGCAAACCGATTCCTTCGCAACGCAGGTGAGAGACTTGGTACTACGACTGGCAAGGAGGGGGGGGAAGCGTTCTTTTGCCAATTTTGCCCTTTTTTAGTTTTATGAGTAGTTTTATCACAATATTAGCGAAATTTTAAATGAAACAAGATACCAAAATTATCACGTTGTTACCGGTCTTTGAAACAGATACAAGTCTGTAGCTTAAATCGCAACCCATGTCTGGAAACACCACCTCTTCTTTTGGCAATGTGGCAACGCATAAAAAACCTTTGACATTCCTTTCCCTTTTAGCGGCTCTCAGATTTCGAAGAGGGAGAATGTGGTTAATTTTAGTTGGAAGAAAGAGTACTTATTCTGCCCTTGTTAGGCTTGAACGTACTGCGGCCACTGCACTGAAAAGAATAAACGCCTGTCTCTTTGGCAAATGGTTGTCACATTAAGCGTTAACCCAAAGGTCAATTTTTTGTCATTTTAAAGAAATTATATTTTATTATTTTTTAGTAATTATTTTCAATAATTATTAATTTACTACTTATTTATGTTGTATTGGTATTTTTAATAATTTTATTAAGACTTTCTTAATTGCTTAATAATATTATTTTTTTATTTGGTTAATAATCAGATTCCATACACATAATAATATTTCATTATTATTGTTATAAATAATTAAGACCGGGCAGTAAAGTTTCACGAGATATCTTTTTATTTCTCTCTGAGCCGGCTTTTATTAAATAATAATTATTGTTACGTTGGTGTTCATAAATCGATAAACAGACATAACTTCTCTTCAAATCTTCAGTATTACAGTTTTGTTTCTTAAGCATACAGGCCAAATCGCCTAAAGAGACGTTTTGTTTTCCCGCTAATGGCTCAACCCCAGGGTTGCCCGATGCTTCGTACAAACATCCGCCGTTAGATGGCTATAAATCTGCCGAATTCCACCCAATAAGAAAAATTTAACTTTCCAAAGGGGAAATTTGAATTTGCAATAGAATAATTGTATTTGAAGTTTTTTCTCAAGTAGTGACCCTACGAAATGCTTCATTAGTTTTATTTTTTTGTGAACATAGTTGTTCAGGCGGCGAAATAGTCGAAGAAAAGTTGGGAGAGCATTTTTGATGGAAATGGCAATGGAACATCGCCTCTTCTATCACAGTTGTTTTTGTCAAGACAAGAGTGGTTATTCGGAAAAAGATGACAACACCAATTGACAGGATTGTTACTTGAGAAAGAATTAACGATATTAGAAGAAGTTTGTCACAGTACCTCGTCCAAAACGAAAACTCTTTTCCTTCGAAATCCGTGCCTTAGTACTGGTTTCTACTACATTCCGGTGCTTGGCCACACTCTGGCGTCGAACCTTGAAACGTTCAGAAACCCTTTTTTATTAGCTTTCGCATTAGCTTTGTCCGTAACAAGTGCGAGCCGGCGTCCTGCGATGAGAAAAGCTCATTTCGACAATGCCAATTTTTAGCCGGGAATTTTTACCCATCCAGGAGCTGGTGCGATCTTTCGTGTACGCTCCGAACTATAGAAAGAAGTTTGATCATCGACTTCCAAGGACTTGCATGAAGAAATGAATGTTTTGGTCGGCAGAGAAGAAATTCGCGCGGCTTTTGGAAGAAAATTAAAGATATAAATTATCTTCGAAGGCGCCAAGTTTAAAAATGTAATCTTTTTCCTTTGAAAGAGCCTTCAAAGAACAATGCAAACGCCCTCTAAAGAAGAACAAGGCGGCCAAATTTCGAAGTAATTTCGGCCGAATTGTCAAACAAAGTAATCCATAATTTATGTATAAAAACATACTTTTTGTAATAATAAGTTTATGTCTGATAATTTTAAAAATTAGTTATGACTATTCCTTATAATTACAGCATATAGGAGGGAAGGTACTTAGAGGATAAAAATAATATTTTCAAAGGAAGATCATTTCATTATCACTTTCATATCTCGCTGAAATGTTTTTGTTGGGATGATTGTAGCCTAAAATTGAAACACCATATTCATGGTAGACAAGTTAACTGACCACTTCACAAGATTTTCAGTTCGCAAGCCTCGTTCCCAAGTCCTGTGATCTTGGTTCCGACTCTGGCGTCGCCAACTATTAAATACCTCCTGTAAAAACGCACAAAACAGGTTGGTCTGGAACCAGTGCAACAATATGCTGCGCAAAAGTGACACCGTACTTCCAAAAAGATTGACGACAATGCTGTATTCGCGTACGTACGTACAGCAGTACGGCTCTGAGGAAATCCACAAATACGGATGACCGAACGCTAGCGCACCATGTCAGGGATGCGGCCTTTTCGCCCCCAATAGCTAGATAATACAAACTCGCGGGCGAAGCCTACGTTAAACCCAAATTATCCCCCATCACCTTCATGATTGCTCCCTCTCTCCCTCCCCTCTTTCTCCCCCTCACTCCCCCTCTCCTCTCAACTCCCCTCTTCCTTTCTCTCCCCTTGTCACATTCGTTCTCTCTTTCTCTACCCAGTCATTCTCTTCTCCTCCTCCTCTCTTCCGTCATCTCTCTCTCTCTCTCTCTCTCTCTCTCTCTATTCTCTTCTCCGACAGCAGGAATTAAGAATGCTTTAAGTTACTCTTGATCTCTTTCCCTTAGCAAGCTCCCCCTTCTCCTAAATTGCTACAACATTCCATTCACCACAGTACTCCCAAGTGACGCGCCTCCCTAGGAATTCGCTGAAGACAGTGAGCTGCCGAGGGAGGAGCATCACAGTAGGCTGAGCAGCGCTTCACCCGTGTCCTTGCATCACGCTGGGGCGAATGACGCAGAGGCTGCCCTTCGGTTGCAGGCGAGTGGCTGATGGTGCTGGTGCACCTCGTCAGGTACTTCAAAGGGCCGAGTGCGGTGGCCGGCGGCGAGGACGAGCCCTTCGACTGGAGCTGGTCCCAACTCTCCTTGGAGCGCTTGCATCTCCAAAACATTCAGTACTTCCTCCTGGGAGCAGTAACAGTCTCCTACGGAATGTACTTCGGAATAGGAGGCTTTCTGCATGTAAGTACGGCTACCTTTACAGGCGTTCTTAACGTTTCATTTCCTTGGATATCAGCAGCTCTTTTGATCAAGATTCAAACGTAAATGATTTATGTTTCCGGCACGTCAGCCGCTACGATCATTAGTCTCGTTAGTGTAGTGAATGTTTCTAACCGGAATACTGCTTCACTGACCCTTGGTTGACAGAATACGCAATGCATATTGCACTTTCGTTATACTACGTATTAGAATTTAAGAGTAATACGTTTTTCGTACTGCTGTTCTGCATTTGTACTTTTTCTTCGCGGATGTCGAATTTGGGTTGGTTTTAGCGCGAGCGTCATTTGTGGCTGCTGAATGTTTAGTAGTCCTAGAAGGTGTGCATGTTACAGAGTGTGGCTGTTAAATGAGAAGTGATTCTGACACATTTTACTGAGTGTGAGAATTGAAAGTGGAATGGTTCAGGGACGTGTTACCCTGCGTAAGTGTTGAATATGGAGTTCGTGTTATCGAATCTATGTGTTTAATTTGCAGTGATTTTGGTACGTGTAACTGAGAATGGGTGTGGACTACGCAGAGGGTGTGGTACGTGTTACCTAGTATGTATGTTGATAGATTGAGTTAGAGTTCTGATACTAAGTGTGGGTCTTCACTGTTAGTGGGTCTGGGACGTGTTTCCAAGTGTGGATGTTGACTGCGCAGTGGTTCTGGTACATGTTACCGAGTGTAGGTGATGACTGAACAGTGAGTCTGGTACATGTTACCAAGTGTGGATGTTGACTGCGCAGTGGTTCTGGTGCATGTTACCAAGTGTGAATGATGACTGTCCAGTGGCTCTGGGACGTGTTACTGAGTGTGGATGCTGACTGTGCTGTGGGTCTGGTACATGTTACCAAGTGTGGATGATGACAGTGCAGTGGGTCTGGTACATGTTTCCGAGTGTGGGTGTTGCCTGCGCAGTGGTTCTGTTACATGTTACCGAGTGTGGGTGTTGACTGTGCAGTGGGTCTGGGACGTGTTTCCGAGTGTGTATGTTGACGTTCTGGTACCGAGTGTGGGTGTTGCCTGCGCAGTGGTTCTGGTACGTGCGCCGCCGCGCCGAGCCGCATGAGTGGAAGTGCCAGCCCGAGAAGTGGCTGCCGCCGGAGCTGGAGCGTCACGAGATCCTGGTGGGGTCGCTGTCTCTGGCCTTCACCTCGGGCCTCACGGGCTTCCTCGCGTGCTACATCTCAAACGGCGGCTGGTCCACCGTCTACTACGACTTCGGCGAGTACGGCTGGACCTGGTGGGTGCTGCAGTGGCCGGCCATCTTCATCTACCAGGTGAGCTACCATTCGCTCGTTTCTGTGGTAAAGCGGAGAGTGTCAGTGCCCCTCTACAACCTGTGAACCGTCCCTCACGTCGGCTTGTGGAGGTTCGCTTCCTCGTAACTCACCCATTGAAAATATAGCTCTAAACCTGTATTGAAGGTTTTAATCGTGGCACTCGAGGCATCGAAACTTTGACATCTCTAATCTAGAAGGTGCGAGACAACACTGATGCAAAAAAATTAAAAACAGCTCACCGCACAGGACTGAAATGCTTGTTTAAGCTTCCGTTCGATCCCCAACTCATGCGCCATAAATTGCCTTCGATTAATAATTTTTCATGAAAATTTAAAGGAAACATTTGGAGCCGTTTTTGAAAAAAATTAAAAATGTTGAGCATCCATGTAAAGTATCCTCAAAAATAAAAATATCCGTTTTAGCCTCGCAAAGCTTTGATTTCGTTCAGTTCGATTGAGGAAAATCAATATTGTAGAAAATTGGCAGAACACTTTAGGCCCTAACTTTAGTATCCTAGTACAATTATTGAATTTTTAAACATTATATTACGTCGACTGCAAGCGGGTACAAAAACGTCAGTAGCATGTGTTGTTTGGCTTAATTCCCTACAATACGAATGACATTTGGAAACCTATGCAAACCTGCTAATGAAAACAAAGCGATCACTGCCCGTCCCTCCGTGGCTGAGAATTCCTCCGTGACCTCAACAGCCAACAGAGCAAAGTCCTTCGGAAGTCAAATATTATACAGTCTGCTGTATTGCCTTTATTTATGTGTAATATGCTCCGTGAAAAAAATTACATCACTACGAACTTTTGTAAAAACAAATTTCGTTCACGTACGAAAATTATTATTTCTAATATTATTAATATGCTTTGCACGTACACAAATGCAAACATGGAGTGAAGAATTTTCTTAAAACGCTATCTTGGAATAAAATGACTAAAAATGTATCTTTTTGTATATTACAAACAATACATACAAAACAAAACTCGTGTCCGTTACGGGAGACGAAAATTAGGTTGTGAAGATTCTAAAAAGTGTCGTCGCCAATTTAAGTACGAAATACGATAGAAGTATGTAGCAGCGTTTAGGGGGATTCAAGTGCATGCTAATTTTTTACTTTCCGGTATACGTACGTACTTCTTTATACAGAGAAAGTACAGAGAAACGTTATGTAATGCTGCGACAAAAACGGCGATTTTTTGACAGGAAAATGCGTACTGTGGGTCCCTGACACATAAAAAGTGGACAAATCTGTTCTAATTTGCAGTAAAGTACTCCTACGAACAATTTATGTTGTCAGATTTGTCGAATAACGAGTCCTTGGTACTGAAAAAGTAGTTTTTTTTTCAAAAATGTCCATCAGTTCAAATGTCTGTCTGTTGCTTGTGAACAAAACTAGCGCCTAAACTATGAGTAGGATTGTTTCCAAACTGAATACTTCCCTATCGATTTGGCCTCATTCGAAGGTCTGCTTTTTCGAACTTTCTTTAATTTTACTTTCTTTACATGAAGACCCGTTTCTTTAAATGAGGACATTATTAAAGTTTTCTCAAAAACGACTCCAATTTTTTTCTTTAAATTTCTGGTAAGAATACAGTAAAATACACTTATAAAGTTGGAATAGGTCCGATTTTCACTCCACCCCGAATATTCAAAAATTACAAACGTTTGGATTTTTCTGAGTCTTCCTACTACAATTTTAAAAATACAAGAATCCGTAGCGATTGTTTCTTCAAATAAAATTTGTTCTCAATAATTATTTCTTTTACCGAGCACATTTTTAAATTTTCATAGTTTTGAGAAATTTCGATAAAAATATATGCAACATTAAAAAAATTTTAAAAAAATATTTCCTCAAAAATGGCTAAAATATGTTTCTTGAAAATTTTCGTACGAATAGCAATAAATGTGCTGTACGAGATATCATAAACCCTACTTTGCTGAATTCGTTTGTTTTTCAAAAATTACACAAACTTAATTACTTTGACTTGTCTCTCCAGTCATTGATATTTACGTGAACGGCAATTTCTTCACATTACTGCATTTATGAGTACATGGGCTTTAAACGTCAGAACGTTTCTCGATAACTCATCCGTTTTCTGTGAAAATGAGCTCAAAGTTCCGCATTTTCAGCAATGTTCAAATGTAATTTTTTTAAAAACGGCTCCAAATGATTGTTTGAAATTTTTCGTACGGATAATGCAAATTGCTCGTTTTAAGATGACATAAAATTAATTTTTCTGTATTTTTTTTTCAAAAATTAAACAAATTAATTTTATTTAATATATCTCTATGTTAATATGTACATTTTTATTTGTATACATTATTGCAGTTGTGAGTAAAAGTGCTTCAAATGATTTACAATGAATTCGAAAACTTAAAAGTTTTCTGTGAAAAAGAGCTTCAAATTTCAACACTTAAACATTTTCTCAAAAAAGGCTCCAGTTTTGTCAACAAAAATTTCTATCTAGGACCGAAAAACTGAGAAAATATGAAAAGATGTAGTTAGGGCGGCAATATGTAGCAGTTAAGAAGAGTGTGGTTCAAAACGGAAAAACTATCCCAGACCAAATAAATTAGGAAACGAAGTAGTGCGAGTACATCTGTGACATTCTGTCGCACCACTAGTTTTATTTAATTTAATATATTTACAAATATTACAAATTTTTGCTTTGCGCGCTCCTTCTCAAGATAAAATATGCTAAATCTCATTCTCCTTCGAGTATACATTATTCTTATAAAGTTTTATTATCACGTCATTATATATAGATGAACAAATATTGCATTTTTTCATGACAGGACTACGCCACCTATTGGCTCCATCGCATCTACCACACGCCGTTCCTTTACAAGCACTTCCACAAGCTACACCACAAGTACAAGCAGCCAACGGCGTTCTCCGTCACCGCCATTCACCCAGTGGAGATCATGCACATCCAAGTCACTCTGCTACTGCCCATCTTCGTGGTGCCTACTCATTTTGGTAAGTGCATTCAAGACAATCTTTCATAGCCACATTACAGATAGATCGCTTTAAGAAACGACGGTACCAATAAGAAATTATAACATTTCCGATATAACAAGGAACTTGATTGGTACTGAACTTGATTGAACTTAATTGATTGTCTTGAAATAAATGCTACAAACTTCTATTGAGATCGAAAATAGTAATCTTGCGGCAATGAGCGTGTATGAAATGTCTGAAACGCAGCCGCTGGCAGCGGTGGGCTTAAAACAGCAAAAAAGTTTTGGGGCTCGTAACCGGAGTTCTTGGAGCTTCTCTTGCAGTGTGAAGATGGCGGCCGCAGTGGCCATTTAAACACTCCGGTGCCATCTCAAGGGCCTCAAAGGCGACGGAAACTTGTATTAGCAATTTAATGAGCAATTTTATCGATTAAGATAAAATTACTTCGTAAGTGGGGTACGGGAACGTAATAAAGGGTTTGTTTTGCACATTGAAACGTTTCCCTTTCTTAGTCTTGCAAAATCGCAGTTCGATATTGCAAGGATTTGGAGAAATTCGACAATTTAGGTACTACTAATTATTTCAAAGATTTTACAGATGTCAGTAATACACAAGAGGGTATTCACGAACAGTGGCGAACCAAGTATTGTGTGTTATTCCATATAATTTACGTGTTCTATCGTAATGTATGAACTGAAAGAGGTTGGCGAAGTTTTATTTAGTTCTTGCAAGAGTTAGAAGTTACTTGCTCAACTCAGGACGGTGCTGTTAGTTCACGCCACTGAGGACTTCTCTTCGGTATAAAAGCTAACTACCTCAGAGAACTAACTACCATAAAGGCTGTCTATCTTTATATATGCCTATGACAATCTGTCCTGTGCTAAGATCTGAATGATGTGTTTTAATGCTGCCATCTCATTTCCTTGTTCTTTGTTCCAGTACCATTCTACGCCATTGCACTCTACACATACTATCATGGAATTATCGACCATTCTGGTATCAATTTCAAGTCTTTCTGGTGGCAGCCCTGGCAACCGGATGCTATTTTCCATGACAATCATCATCAATATTTTCATGTAAATTTCGGCTTTAACATCTACATCTGGGATGTGGTAAGTACTTATTTGCTGAATCAAGTACAGTCGTCTCCATTATTGTGAACTTCTGGGGCTAACATTTTTGGTTCAATATATCAGAGCTTCGCTCTATCCGATGACGTCCAGGGTGTAAGGCGGATAGTTGTTTACTCTGCCATCGAGAAACTGGGATTAACCAAGTCAATACCTCCAAGCAATGTTGTCGCGTCGGAATATTTTTAAATATTTCGAAAGCTTCGTTATTGGTCATACAACTTGTTTTCAAAATTACCTTCAAATAGAATTCGTGTTATTGCTTTAGATTGGATAACCTAGTACATTAAACATCGATCTCAAAGAGTCGAAATACCGTACTGGAACGAAAGGACATTATTAACTTATCTTGCCGATTCTTTACCAATTGAATATGGGGTCCTGCAAGATTCGATCTCGGACCTATCCTCTGTCTTAAACGATATGCCCTCGTCCATTAAAAATGGAAGAACCGTTGTGTTTGCTGATGACACAAATGTTCTTTGGAAAAAAGAAACAATAACTAGTACGATTTCAGATGTTTCGAATTGGTTTCGTAATATTCGGAATATTTCGGAATATAAGTTTCGGAATATTAAATGGGCAATATTAAAAATATTTTAAAAAGTGTATTCTCAAAAACCGATCAACATGTTTTGACTAAAATTTTGGAGGGAGAATGCTAAATATGCTGTAATGCTATGCATAATTATACACAAAATATTTTCTATTCAATTGTAAATAATTAAGAAAGTGGTAGTGCCAGACTGAGAACTTCAGCATGTGTAGCGCCTCCACACGTCAACAGCTGAAGCATCAAATACACTATATTAATGCACTAGCTATGCACTAACTTTTAATCAAAATAAAAACTATAATAGTACTTTATGCAATTAGTTTATAAGACTAATTTTTATTGCACGAGTATATGTTTTGAAAACGTTAAGAGCGAGTTTTCAAATCTGTACGAATGCCAAAAGGCAGCTTTATAAACGAGTTGCATTTGCTCTTTTTTTTATTGCAGCATTATAAATTTATAAGATAATCAAACTTAATTTTGCGAAACAACTCTCTTGTGCCGTCTACGGTATTTCACATCTTTGCGAAACCACTGTGGTCGGCTGTTTCTTTTCCTGCTACCTCCCCCGATTCTCTCGCTGCAATTGCCTGAATGTGTGATGACGCAATCATTTGTGCCGTAAAATGGTAATACGTCATTATTGTGCCGTAAAATGCCATCTTATGAAACATTTCTTGTACCAGAAAAGGTCATTTATAATCAAGATATTCTAAAAATAATTGTACAGTTTGCAAACTGATACAAATAATTTTCAAAAGATCTCTCAGCTGCGGTGGAGGCAATATCGTGCGCCCCGAACGATCTTAACAATAGTAAAGCGTATTCGAAGTGGATGTACATTAAACAGAACGGTTAATTGTTCTTGAAGAAAACTTAAGTACAGTTCACAAATGCAAGCAAATCAAGTAAAAAGTTAAATAATTCAAAAACAAATCTTATTTAGCACAATAAAGTATTATTTTACACTAATAAAATATAGTTGTAAATATGTACCATTCTCAAATTATTTGTATTAAAACAGAATTTATTTTTTCGCATTATTTCTAAATGTTGCAATATTTGAAAATTCAGAGAGTTTTTGGTCATTTCTATATCCTCGGACAAATTTAAAGATATGATTTATAGCCGTTTTTGCAAAAATTTGTTGGGAGAGAGCAACTAAATGGTAACAAAAAACGTCCATTTATATTAAAAATATTCGCAATAAATTTTTTTTATTCATTTTGTTTTTCTTCTAATTGTCGGACAAACTTGATATTAAGTTAGCAGAAATTTTATTTCCGGTATTAGTTGAAGAGCGACAATTTTTGGCGTAACAAATCAGCAACAAAAAAGCGTCAGGAGAGTAAGAATTAAAAATAATTGCACTTTTGTGTAGTTTGTATGCAGAATTATTTAAACAATATCTCTCAATTAGTTTTTTGAGCAATAATAAATAATATGGCAAACGTATTTAAAACTTAATTCAATATTTTATTTTCCTTATAATATTTTTACTTTACTCATTTTATTATTTTACTTGCAAGTCTAGTGCGTAGCACAGCAGTGAAGTTCGCAATTCTTCAAGGCCTTTGAAATAGTTGGTTTATTTCTGGTCTTAATAGCGTTGTGGTCATTTCAACAATGACTAATTGACCTTACCATGGACCAATGATTACAAATAACAAATATTTCAAACCAATAATTACATGAATGTAAGAAATAAGGAACTTATAGAAGACTACTTAAAAAGGAGACATTTTGAAGTTGTTTGAATGTTTTAAAGCAATACTACACAGATATTTCTTGCCAGCAAAAATAAAATACACGTAGAATGTAACGAAGAACTTTTAACAATCAGTCAACATTTGAGTATAGGCGTCAAACAGCAAAATAACAAATGTTCCAAACACAATGTTTACCGTCCATAATAATTAAATACTCAGACCTGTGCAAAAAAAAGTCACCAAACGTATTTATAAATTTAAAACTAGCAGTTACCACAAAGAATGTTCAATATCAACTCCTGAGTCACAAATTATTTTGCCAGAAATGCATGAACACTTAGTCAGGTAAACTAATATAATTGAAGTATGTTATAACATTAAGTATGTTATCAGTAATGTGGTAAATAACACATTGACGATGTATCACGATATAACCCAATACAATTGAAACAGGACAATCAAAATAAACTTTTATTTCAATACCAAGGATGTCAAACGTACTACGAGAACATCAAGGACATAAAAACAGTTTCTTCAAGATTTACCAACCCCGCAGTAGTAGACAGATTAGGGCTCGCACGTGGTAACTCAGAAATAAAGTTTATGGAGTGTTTAAACTGACACGACAATGATTTGGGATAATCTTCTTTAGACTGCTTAGGTTCGCTGATCGAAGAAAATACGATGTCAAATTTCTAGTCAGCTCTCATGAGTCAATGTTTTAAATGGAAACAGCCTTACCCAGCCAGCTCCCTGCCGGCTGCACACTATTAATTACGCAAAAATATGAAGAGCAGTTAATTAGCAATTAAATCGTTCTACATGATGGCGCGTTTGTTTTACGTGATATTCGGCTAAGGTGGTGCCAGTTACGTTAAGCTGGCTCACTATTAATTATTGGAATTAAAATCTGCGTAATTAGCAATTACATTATTCTACATGGCGGTATATTTGTTTTCGTGGTAACTACCTTAATCTTAAGCCAGCTCAAATGGGGAAACTTGGAAAGAGCATTTAAATACATTTTCGTAACTAAATAGCAATTAAATAAATTTAAATGGTAGCGTATTTGCTTTTGTGGTAGTGCCAGTTTAAGGAGAGGTTATATTAGAGGACCCCAAAACGCGTACTTCTTTTAAAGCCTCAAAATCGATTTTTCGCGGAATTACATAACTTTCACGATAGTACATAAAAGATATGCCGTGTATTCTGAAGGAATGTGTACGAGAAAGTAGAAGCAGTTTTGTAATTGGCCTCATAGGCGTTGATATGTCACGTGCGGGGACTATGACGTGTATGATGACGTAATATATGCCAAAAAAGGCCAACACGCGTGCCGTAAAATGTATTTGATGGGTATGATGACGTAATAAACGGCCAATATGAATTTCATAGAATGCGTTTAAAAGTACGATGACGCTATTTATGCCATAAACGGTCAATACGTATCCCATAAAAAGCATTTCAAGGGTACGTTGACGTAATCTATACCATAAATGCCAAAACGTGTCCCATAAAATGCATTTGAAGTGTATTACGACGTAATTTATGCCATAAACGGGTAATTCATCTGCTAGAAAATGCACTTCAACTGTACGTGATGACGTAATTGATACCATAAATGCCTAATACGTAAGGCACAAAATGAATTTTAAGTGTATAACGTAATTTATGTCATAAATGACCAACACGTATACAAATGATATGCATTTCAATTATATGGCGACGTAATTTATGCCATAAACGGTCAATACGTGTCCTATAAACTGCATTTCAAGTTTACGAGGATGTAATTTATGCCATAAATGTCCAATACGTGTGCCGTGAAATGCATTTGAAGTGTATGATTAATGGCGTAAGTCGTGCCATAAACGGCCAAATTGTGCCCCATAAAATGCACTTCAAGTGTATGGTTAATGACGTAAGTTGTGCCATAAACGGCCAAAACATGCCCCATAAAATGCACTTGAAGTGTATGGTTAATGACGTAAGTTGTGCCATAAACGGCGAAAACGTGTCACATAAAATGCACTTGAAGTGTATGATTAATGTCGTAAGTTGTGCTATAAACGGCGAACACGTGTCACTAAAATGCATTTGAAGTGTATGATTAATTACGTAAGTTGTGCCATAAACGGCCAAATCGTGCCCCATAAAATGCACTTGAAGTGTATGGTTAATGACGTAAGTTGTGCCATAACCGGCCAAAACATGCCCCATAAAATGCACTTGAAGTGTATGGTTAATGACGTAAGTTGTGCCATAAACGGCCAAAACATGCCCCATAAAATGCACCTGAAGTGTATGATTAATGACGTAAGTTGTGCCATAACCGGCCAAAACATGCCCCATGAAATGCACTTGAAGTGTATGATTAATGACGTAAGTTGTGCCATAACCGGCAAAAAGGTGCCCCATAAAATGCATTTGAAGTTTGATGACGTAAGTTGTGCCGCTAACGGCCGATACGCGCGCTTGTGTTGCAGCTACACGGCACGTACCGCCGCAAGGACCGCGTGTACAACGAGCAGTCGTTCTACGGGCGCGGGGTGGCGCTGGCGGACGCGTCGCCCGAGGAGCTGCGCGCGGACCTGGCGGAGCGGCGGTCGGAGAACCCCAGGGCGTACCGCTCCAACCGGCGCGACTTCGACCTGGACCC